CCCACTCCCTCCCCCTCCTCCTCCCCTCCCCCCCCCCACACACACACACTGAGTTTCTGGAGTACAGGCTCTCCAGTCATCTATCTTTGGGCCCTTCTTTTCTGGAAGAGGGCTGGAGAGTGGTGCCAGTTTCCTGCTGCTGCCCCCTTGAGGTTGAGCTGTAGATACACAGCCAGACCTGCTCTCTACCTCCCCGGCCTCTGCTTCCCCACCCCTTCAATCTCATCCTGCTGGGGATTGTGTAATAGATTTCTCAACTGCACTGCCTGGGCAAAGAGGCCCAGGAGGGAAGAACAATCCACAGATACAGAGCACACAAGGTCATAACCTCTTCCTCTTCTCTAGACTGAGAGCTCCCAATAACAAGGCCCCCACCATCTTTTCCATGATCTCAAAGCTTGGCTCCTATGGTCAAATATATCCCTTCTCCTCAAGATCATTGAACGCGAAAAAGTTAATGATTAGCCTTAGGATTAAAAAGGCAGGTTGTTCTTTGGAAGCTGGGGTGTGTACTGGACAGGGCCAGGGACTCCACAGAAATTCACTGAGCCAAACAATGGCAGGAAAGAAAACCACCCAATTACCACTCCTTTTTTTTTTTTTTCTTCAAGGCTAATTCTGAGCACACTACTTTTGGCAGGGATGGTTGTACCAGAACAGAGGGCAGTGTTTTTTCCCATGCTTTTCAAAACATGCTTCTGTGTATTTGTGTGCATGAAACAAAGACAGAGATATTAGAAAGATCAGATCTTAGAAGCCTTGAACACAAAAGAGTGGATTCTCCACCCTCCCCGCCCCCCCAAGGGATATGATTGAATTTCAGAAAGATTTCCTTGGCTGCTGTGTCGATTAGATTAAAGGGTACAGACTGGAAAGGGGTCACTGAAGTAGTTCAGGGTAGACTTGATAAGATCTGATGTTGGGTAGTATTGCCAGAGGCCTAACTCTGGAGGCTCCCAACTAATCAAATCTAGCCACTTGCTCCAAAACACAAACAGAAAAATGCTGGAAAGCAAGAAAGGAACTTTCATCTGTATGACTACATCAGGATGACAAGACAACCAGCATCCCCAGCTCTTTCTCAGAGATATTAAAATGAGTTCCCAGATTATATAAGCAAGGGGCAGCACTGAGGGACGGGTTAATCGGTCTTGGGCAAACTGTGGTCTGGTATGTGGTCAGGCAGGGCCTTGTCCACCACAAGAAGATTGCTCTTGCCTTTTTCCAGGGAGGCAGTTTCCACTCTTATAACAAGATGTTTATCCAGTGGCCCTGTTGTTCTTGGAGTTCAAAGTGAACGCAGGAGACAGATGCAAAATGGAGGCAGACATGCTAAGTTTTTAGTTATTTTAGTTATTCGTTGGGCATGTGCCGGCCCAAGTGAAGAATCAGTGCTTTTTAGTAGAATCAGCCTCTAAGTCCTTGTTGTGGTAGTGGCCAGGGGATGGAAAGGCCAACACTGGCTTTGGATTCAGGGAGCTAAGAAGAACCCAGAGCTCATGGTGAGAACTAGCAGAAAGAGGCTTGGTCTGGAGCATGAGCAAGACATCTCTGCTCAGCACAGGAACTAGGATACAAAGATACACGTACCTCCATGTTCATTGCAGCACTGCTCACAATAGCCAAGGTGTGGAAACAACCCAGATGCCCCACTACTGATGAGTGGATCCAAAAACAGTAGGACCTATATACAATGGAATATTATGCAGCCATTAGAAAGGACAAATAATGGCATTCTCAGGGAAATAGATGGAACTAGAGCAAATCATTTTGAGCGAGGTGAGCCAAGAGCAGAGAGACAAATGGCACACGTGGATGTTAAATCCAAAATGCAAGGAGATATACCAAAGTAAACTGAAGAAACAAAGGACCTCCACTCATTTTGTCACATCATTACTAAATGACCCCCTGTTCTTGACCACATATATGCTATATATGTGCACATCTGTGGGAAGCTAGGAGGAGAACACAGAATCAGAGGGAAACGGGAAAGCATACAACAGAGGGGCCCATCAGCTGCACTGGACATTGATGAAAATGAACTAAGCAACGCAAGGGCAGCGATGGGAGGGAGGGAATGAGAGGGAAAGAGGGACCAGCAACACTAAGCAAAAGGTGTTGGGTCTTCTTCCGTCCCTGGAAAGGTAAGTGCGGCGCTCTTGCCCGTTCCCCAGCCTCCCTCAGCCAGGGAGACAATCAGACACAGTGGGGAACCAAATCCAGCAGGAAGAAAAACTCCTTTATTAACGGAGAGCAAGCCCTTTTTAAAGCCAAAAAGGGCGGGTGGCATGGCAGGTGGGGAAGAGGAACCAATCACCGTCAAGGTCACACCCTATCATGCACCTAAGCTTCCACGGGCTGGTTAGGCACTGAACGTAAGGTAAATTGGGCTCTGCCCACTCTACTCTCAGCGCCATCTTTGCTGCCCATGTGCCCTGCAGATTCCTCCTCTTTTTTTTTTTTTTAACAGGATTACATTGGTAAGGATAGCATTGGCCACACAGGGGGTTTGAGGCAAGTCTGGGGGTCGAGATTCGCCAGACAAGGATAGGGAGGGCCCTTGTGCATGATCCAAGAGCCCGTCCCAGTTACCTCACATCCCCACCTAGCACAGTAATAAACATCAGTCCCACCGCAGTTAGAAATGTCTGAAGCAGTTCAGTTAATTCCTGGGCACCTAGTGTCTTTTAAGTAAGCCAGTTCCTTGTACGTGCCTTTTAGCACAGGGGTCAAGATGACCTTTGAGCTTTACTGTCAGCTCCCAATGGCTCCCAACAAAAAGGAAGAAATGTACATATCACCTGATGTGGAAGAAATAGTTGTATTATCAAAGCTCATAGAATTCACAAACTTTACAGACCATGATAATGACAAGTTGCCTTGTGAAGGTTAAAATGTGTTTGTGATTCATTATCACTATTCCACAATACTGTGAAATTTGTGAAATTTATGTAATTGCTTAATCTCAATAAATTATTTTAAAAAGAATCAATTTTTTAAAAAAAAGAAAAAAGAAATATCTGCTTTGGTCTAGGGGAAACTAAGGTAAAAACTCACCTGGAGTTCAGAGAGAAGGCTTAGCTGCTGCTGCTGCTTCCCATTCCTATGCAGTTGGAAAGGAAATTGAGGCAGACTTTCAGAAACAGAGTGACAGAGCCAGACACTTGTGGGTCATACGTGTATTCCTAGCTACTCATGCTGAAATAGGAGGATTGCAGTTCAAAGCCAGCCCTGGCAGAAAAGTCTGTGAGATTCTATCTCCAATTCACCACCACCAACAACAACAAAGGCTAGAGGCATGGCTCAAGTAATAGCCTTCCAGCTGTGAGTGGGAAAGTTGATGGAGGCCCTGAGTTCGAGCCCTAATACCAATACAAAAAGGAGAGAGAGACACAGAGAGAGGGAGCATGGGAGAGAGAGAGAGAATTTCAGACTAAGAGCCCGGTCCCAGGTTTACTACAGTGGCCACTCAGTCTCTCCCTGTTATCTCTACAGAATAGAGTTCCCACTGCTATATATTACCTTTCCACCAACAGCTCATGCGTAGGAGAAGCCAATGAGGAATTATGGCTATGACAAGGCAACTGGAAACTCCTTGGAAGAGGGTCCGCTCCTCAGACGCAGATGTTCATGGAGAGACAAACTTTGAATGCATAAGATGTGCTGGCAGGAAACAAGGCAGAGCTAGAAAGGGCTGGCAGAATCCTTGTTTTAAAGCAAGAAAACAAGAAATAAGCTTGGGCATAGGTCAAATGGTAGTATTTGCCTAGCAAGGCCCACAATTCAATCCCAGTACTGCCCTACCAAAAACCAAAACAAAAAGCCCCACAAAAAAACCAAACAAACAAGAAATAGTATTGTAATAGCTACCTTTTATTGAGCACCTACTTTGTGCCAGGCACTTTGCATACATGTGTGCTTAGAATTCTCACAATGACCTTGGAGGTAGGTATAATGATCATTTTTACTTATGAAGAAACAGGCTCATTGAGATTAAGCAGCTTATTCAAGGTCACACAGCTGGTTGAATAATGATAGAATTGCCAATAGAGGGCTGGGGATGTACTTCAGTGGCAGAATATGCTTGTAGCTCTTATTGAAGCAGCTTATTCAAAGTCACACAGCTGGATGAACAACAACAGAACTGCCAATGGAGGGCCAGGGATATAGTTCAGTGGCAGAGTGGTTGCCTAGTATGCTTGTAGCTCTGGGTTCCATTCCTAATACTGGGGAGAGAAAAGAATTGGCAGTGGAGATGAGAATCTGAGCCCCCCCTCCCTCCATCAGTGCTGCCATCAGGAATTTTCCACATTGAAAAATAAAGAGGATAGAGAAATGGACAAAGATTCCCTCACTCTGAGAGCGAGGAAAGGAAAGGAAAACGGCTGAGATGAAAGATTGGCCATTGTATGTATTGGCAGGTGTTTCTGTATACCTGTAGCTCATTTGCCAAAGCACACATCCCACTGGCAGAAGAAGAACACTGCTCACTTTTAGGCCACACTCAGACTATGCGCCAAGTGAAGCAGATAAGAAACCTTGAAAGAGCTGTTTATTTCCTACCAGAGTCCCAGGGAAATCACCTGGGAAGGGGCCAGCTCAACCAAGCCCCTTGCCCCATGCCCCCTGGCTCCAGGTTTATCTAGCCTCAAGGATGTGGTGTTCAGCCCACAGACTCAGGGGCTTATGCACGCTCTCTCTCTCTCTCTCTCTCTCTCTCTCTCTCCTCCCCCCCAAGGAGACAAGTTCTTTTTTTTTTTTTTTGTCGGTTGTGGGACTTGAACTCTGGGCCTGGGCGCTGTCCCTCAGCTCTTCAGCTCAAGGCGAGCGCTCTACCACTTGAGCTACAGCGCCACTTCCAGTTTTCTGGTGGTTTTTATTGGAGATAGGAGTCTCACGGTCTCTCCTGCCCGGGTTGGCTTTGAACCGCGATCCTCAGATCTCAGCCTCCTGAGTAGCTAGGATTACAGGCGTGAGCCACCAGCGCCCGGCGAGACAAGTTCTTGAGTTAAGGCACTAAGTCTGGCTTGCATGGCCCTACAAAGCTGCCTTCCAGGCACATCTGGCCCAGGGCTGGGCCCAGGCGCGACCCCCGATAGGTTAATGCAGTGTTAGGAGTTACTTCCCAAACAGAGGGCAACCGTGATCACTGCCCGCAGAGCCTAGTCCAGTTCTCTGGGAAAGGAGCTCCTGCCTCCTTGTCACCTTTACCCCTTCTCCCCAGCTTGTATGCACCAGGTCAACCACAGTTCAGGCGTGTGCTGAGAACTCAGGGCCTGGCTTCTAACACCAAGATGCATACTTTCCAAATGTGGCAGGGACTATTTTAATCCTTTTTGAAAGGCTCATATTCCCACCTCAGAAGGGAAGAGATGGCCACAAAGACCAGGGGAGGTGGGGAGGGGAGTTTCTCTATGTGCTTTTAAAAACCAGATTGTGTGTTACAGAATTCAACCAACCAACCAACCAGACTGGTCTCCTCTGAGAAAGGCTGTCTGGCTTCCATCCATCCCAGACCGGATAGAGAGTAGAGGGAAAGGAAGACAGGATTGTGCATTGAAGCAGGAGGTCGCTTCCAAGTCCCCTCTCCAAGCCCCACCTATAGCAGTTGGCTACATACTATGTACCACTTAGTGGGTAGCACAGACGTGGGACTTCCTGGTTCAGGCGTGATGGAGGGTTTAAAACAAAAATAAAAGTGTGCATGAAGGATATGGCTAGGGCTGTGGGGTTCCTACAGGGTCAGGAGGCCCACGTGAAATAGGCGACTTCGTCCAGGTCTACAGGGTAATCGGTGAGCAGCACGGGCGTCTTGTCGAAGAGTTCTCCTTTGTAGCTGCGCCACTTGCCGGCGGGCAGGTAGACGTCGCGCTCCTGCTTGCCCGGCTCCAGCACGGGCGCCACCAGCAGCGTGTCCCCGATCAGGAACTGCGAGTCGATGCGGTGAGCCGTCTCGTCGCCCGGCGCGATCCACCAAAGGGGGCGCACGATGGGGTCGCCGGTATCGGTGACCTCACCGGCCAGCTCGAGCAGGAGCGGGGCCACCAGCGAGGCCCGCAGGGCGGCGAACTTGTGGGCGATGGCCACGACCTCAGCGTCGTACTGCCAGGGCGGGATGGAGAACTGCATGGCCGGCATGAAGGCGGCCACCTCCAACCAGCGCACGTAGAGCTCCCGATCCGGCCCCTCGCGGTTGCCCACGGTGCGGTCGGGCACCGCGTTGCCACCCACCATATCGGGCAGGATGAACGGGTAGCCCAGCATGCTGACGGTGAGCACGGCGGGGATGAGCGAGCGCAGCCCCAGGTCGTAGCCCCACAGGGAATCGCGGTCCACCAGGCGGAAGAAGCAGGAGATGTTCTGCGACTGGTAACCCACCCGCACCTCGGCCAGCGAGAAGAAGGGCAGCGCCATCTCCGTGTATCGCCGGCTCCACACGCTGGGATCCGACAGCGGCTTGTAGGTGCTAAAATCCCGGGGCAGGTAGCTGACCTCCCCGGCGTCGAACTTAAAGGACGCCACGGTGTAGCGGGAGCGCAGCCTCCGCAGGTGGCCCTGGAACCAATCTCGGGCTTCCGGGCGCGTGAAATCGAGCACGGCGCCGATGCCGTTCCACCAGCGCACCAGCGCGGGCAGCCGGCCCGTGGGCTCGCGCACGAACAGCTCGCGCTCCACGCCCTCGCCGAAGCGCGACGAGTTGTAGTTGACGAAGGGGTGCACCCAGAGCGTGACGCGGAAGCCGGCGTCGCGCAGGCGGCCGAACATGTCACTGGCGTTGGGGAACTTGGCCTGGTCGAAGTCGAAGTCGCCGTAGGCGGGCGTGTACATGTCGTCGATCTCCAGGTGGCTGCTGTTGAAGCGGTGCTGGCGGATCTGCTGGGCGAAGCGCAGCACCTTGTCCTGATCCACGTCGCGCCCGTACAGCGCCCACGTGGACCAGATTGGATCGCGGAAGGCCTCGGGCGCGGGCACCCTGGACGGCTTGTTAAAATAACGTCGCACCATGTACTTGTGGATGGAGGTGACATCGGAGCCCACGCACACGCGGTAGCTGAGCTCGGCGGCTGCGGGGCGGCCGGCCGCGGGCTTGTAGGGCGTGTCGTGGTATCTGGCCTGCAGCCGCAAGGATCGCTCCGTGTCGTTCCAGCCCAAGTGGAAGGGCACGGAGTCGTTGACTTTGATGGCCGCCGCGCGCGACGATAGCCAGTAGCGCTCCAGGATGCCCCCGAAAGCGGCATCCGAAGAATAGACGTCGCTCGTGACGAATGGCTGAGGCTCCTGCTGACCCTCCAGGCGGATGGGCCAGTACTGGGTCCTCATCTCCGCGCCGCCGTACCAGTGGGCCGTCGTGTCGCCAAGGAACATGGCGTGCTCCACGGCACGTCCCGGAGCCGCTTCTTCCCAGCGCACGCGGTAGCACATGACCGTGTCCTTGGGCCGCACCGTCTGGATGAAAAAGTGCAGTGGGCGACCATCGGCCGTGTGGGTGCACCCGAGGACGGCGCCATCGCGGCTGCAGGAGTCGAGGTCCAGAGCCCCCGATCGGAAGGCCAGCCGGAAGACCTGCTCGCCCTTCTGGTTGCGGATGGAGAAGCCGCCACGGTTGAGGTCCAGCAGCTCGGCCCGCAGCCGTTCCGCTTTGCGTAAGGAGGCACTGTAGTAGCACCAGGCCACCACCGCAGCCAGCACCAGCAGCAGCCCCAGGACCGCAGAGCCCAGCATAGGCCTCAGCTCTTTGGTTGGCTTCGGTTTGGCAGGGGAGAAGTTGTCAGGCAGGAAGGTGTACATGGCTGCTGCGGCTGCTGCAGTGGCTTTGGGACTCTTAGGGCCTCCGTGGCCACCAGAGCGGTGGCGGGGGAAGGCGTAGTTGTTCTCTGGAAGGTTCTGGGGCATCCGTCCCCAGCTAAAAAAGGCACAGGCAGTGGTACCACTGGACCAAGCCCATTTGACCTGCTGGAATCTAAAAAGGGAGGAGAGAGAAAAAAACTCTGAGCTTCCTGGCTCCATAGTATTTCCATTTCTGCAGATGTATACTGGAGGCTAAGGGCTTGCAAGCAGCGAAGGTGTGGCTCTTACAAGGACAATCTTGGTCATGCTAGCCAGAATTTTCATGGGGCCCTAATACTTGCCCAAATTAGTCAGGACTCAATGAGGAGAATTATCATCCAGAGATGATTTATTTCCCCCTTTCCCTGGTGGCAAAGGTCAAGAAGCCATCAAGGATCATAGGAGAACTCAGGCCTCCTTGGAGCAGGGGAGGGGCTGGCCTACAGGAACAGCTGGGCTGAAGAAGGAGGGAACTTACTGCAAGGGTTGCTGAAAGGAGACTGACACATGGTTCAGGGGCAAACCAAACCGCCAGTCTGTACCAGATGTAGGTGTGCAGAGAACTTCTTGTAGAGAGAGATTATATAAGGGAGGGGGAGAAAGAGGCATGACCTCAGCATATGAGGAAGTGACCTCAGAGCTTGGGGACCCCTCACTGCCCTTAGATATGCTAGTTACCTGGGTTACAGGTGCTGAATTTCTAGGGAGGGCCAGGTGCAGTTGTGCATGGAGAGAGAACAAAGGGAAAGTGGTTTTTTGGTTTTGTTTTTAGTTTTTATTTGTTTTTGGTCAGCCATAGGGCCTGAACCCTGGGCCTGGGCTCAGCTCTTCAGCTCAAGGTAGTGCTCTACCATTTGAGCCATAGCGCCACTTCTGGCTTTTTCTGCTTATAGTGGTGCTGAGGAATCCAACCTAGGGCCTCATGCATATGAGGCAAGCCCTCTACCACTGAGCCACCTTCCCAGCCCCGAGAAGTGGTTCTTATGTGCAGTTTTGCCTGGAGAGAAAACAAAAAGAAGAGACCATCTTTCCTAGGTAGACCTAACACTAAGACAGGGTGAGTAGTAAGCACCGTCTGCTGCTTGAGACCCAAGGTGTTGGGTTCTACCACGAGGCTACATCCCTGATCTTCCTACTTTTTTTTTTTTTTTTGTGGGTCATGGGGCTTGAACTCTGGGGTTTGGGTGCTGTCTCTGAGCTCTTGAGCTCAAGGTGAGTGCTTTACCACTTGAGCCACAGTTCCATTTCCAGTTTTCTGGTGTTTAATTGGAGATGAAAGTCTCACAGACTTTCTTGCTCAGGCTGGCTTTGAACAGCAATCCTCAGATCTCAGCCTTCTGAGTAGCTAGGATTATAGCATGAGCCACCAGCCTTTTTTTTTTTTTTTTGAGACTGGGTCTATCTATGTAGTCCTTGTGGCCTTGGATTTAATGTATAGCCCAAAGTAACTCTTAACTCCCCATCCTTCTGTCTCCATCTTCTGAGTGTTGGGACTGTACATGTTCATTATCATACCCAGCTTCCTTTAGACTTTTAACAAAGCAGTAGGCTGGCTTTCTTGCCCCAACTTGTGGTGGGGGGAGGGGTGTGAAGCTGCCATGGAATGTGATTCTTAAGTCAGAAGCCAGTGAACACCTGGAAACTAAAAACACCCCTAAGCTAGACTCAGTCATAGGCCCTGATTTGAAGAGAGGCAGGGCTAGGCTCAAACATCAGACATTAGGGCTGGGACCAGGAACCTGGCATAGAAGCCTGCCTTCTCAGATCTGCCTCTTTGTCCTCAAACCCTCTTGCTTTTCAACCATTAATCACTAAGTCATTTTCCCTGCCTACCTTCCTTCTCTGCCCCCAACACATCTACGGGTGTCTATACATATCTAGCTCTATATCACTCAGCTTCTGCCCTGATGCTCCTGCCCTGTTTGAGCACTGGCATTTGCCACATTCCCTCAACACGCCTGCCTGCTCCCACTTCTTCTCCTGTAGTGCCTTTGGTTCACACAAATCAGCTAGTCTTTCTCAAGCATTATCAAACCCATATATGCCTAACTTTGAGAGCTACTCAGGAGACCCATAATGAAATCCAGACATATAAGCTTGGGAGCCAAGGCTCTATACATGATGTGGTCTCAGCTACCTTTTCTGTTTCTTTTTTTTTTTTTTTTTTTGTGGCCAGTCCTGGGGCTTGAACTCAGGGCCTGGGCACTGTCCCTGAGCTTCTTTTATTTGCTCAAGGCTAGTCTCTACCACTTGAGCCACAGCACCACTTTTGGCTGTTTCTGTTTAAGTGGTACTGAGGAATTGAACCCAGAGCTTCATTCATGTTAGGCAAGCTCTTCACTAGTAAGCCACATTCCCAGCCTCTACCTACCTTTTTTTTTCGAGCGGAAGAAATAGTAATGAGGTGTGAACCCATGGCCTTGTGTTTGTTTGGCAGGTTCTCTACCATTTGAGCCACACCTTGAATCCTTTTTTGCTTTAGTTATTTTTCAGAGAGGGTCTCGAGTTTTTGTCTAGGCTAACCTCAGACCTCAGTCCACCTATCTATGCTTTCTGAGTAGCTAGGATCATAAATATGTACCACCAGACCTGGCTTATTTGTTGGGATGGAGGGTCTCGATAACTTTTCCTGGCTGGTCTCAAACTTCAGTCCTACTGAGTAGCGGTGATTACAGTCATGAGCCACTGCCTCCAGCCCTCAGCTACTTTTCCTTTTTTGTTTTAGTTTGCTTTGTACCAGTGCTGGGGCTTGAACTCAGGGCCTGGGCGCCGTCACTGAGCTTTGAACTTTTTTAAGCCACACGTTCACTTCCAGCTTTTTTGGTGGTTAATTGGAGATAAGAAACTCTCAGACTTTCTGTAGAAAGCAGGTTGAGATGAGAGATCCCAACCCAAAACCTTGAAAAACAAAGTTGAGAAAACAGCAAGAGACGCCACTGTCCTAGGCCTGGGAATGGCACAATTGAGGTTTTAGTAAGAGCCATCGCATAAGCTAACAGTTGCAGAAACTAGCTCAAGGCGAACTGCAATGTCCTGCTTCTGATTCCTGCTTGCTGGCCACCTGTGAGTGGCTTCTTTCTGTTTTTTCCTTATATAATACCACCCCTGAGCTATGATCAGGGCTGGTCTTCAATGTCCCAATAGTGGAGGTCAGTAGCAGTGGCTAATAAAGATTCCTAGCCCGTTTGAGTGTTGGTGACTCTTTTTGCCGATCATGGGTTCGAGTCCCACCGGCCCTAAATTGGGATACTTCACGTTCCTTCTCAGGCTGGCTTCAAACCCTGACCCTCAGATTTCAGCCTCCTGAGTAGCTAGGATTATAGGTATGAGCCAGTGGCACATGGCCTCAGCTACTTTTCTGATTCTAATTTCAACCAGGCCTATCCTGTGACTACCAAGCTCACTAGCTTTCCAATCTAAATCCTTCAAGCTACTTGCTTCAGGATATTACGCCTACTCAGCTTGGTAGCCTCTCTTCCACCTATCAGCTCTCCAGAGATGAGATGCCCACCACTCCACATAAATTCTCCCACAGTACATGCTAAAGATCCCGATATGCCTGCGGACAAACTCAGACTTCGGGATAGGCTTATGTCTCAATCTGCTGCTGAAGGCCAATGACTATTCCAGTCCCAGCCCTCAGGGCAGAGTCCAACAAAGAAACAGCACCTGCCAGGTGCTCACACAGGCAGATATATTGCTAGCCAGCCTGCTGCTGCATTGCTCCAGCTGGGAGGAAAGAGAGAGAAACTGGCAAACAGTAATTAGTCTCTTCCCAGATGCCAATGTCTGTCTCAATCTCCAGGGACTTCCAAGGAGATGCTGGAGAATGATTTAGATTCTTTGACCTCCTCCAACTCCCCCATGAAGAATCTATTGAGAATGTCAGGTGCAGATCAGAATTGTGATCCTACAAGACAACACAACATCTCTGTATCCCCTTCCTAAAGCTGCTTTCTCATTCCTCCCTCAACTCCCTAAGCTTTCAGCCCTTTTGTCCCTGTACCTCAGTCTAGAAGAACTTCTATTCATGTTCTATCTATTTAAAGTAGCTTTCCTCCCTGCTTCCTATAGGTAGAAAAATCCTTCTAGAAAATGCAGGTAGTAATCGATAGGTGCTACCCTCAAAGCCAAGTGGGACCCAAAGACCACTGCCCCAGGCTATATTTGCTTTCCATTTACATTCATTCAATACAACTAAGGGGAGTTCAAATCTAAATAGGACGGACTCCCTTATCCTCAAACTTTCATATTAAGTCAGCCTTATTGCATGACCTCTGTAGGCATGGAGAGGCCACCTTACAGACCTTAAAAGCCCTTTCCGCAAATACATTCCATTTATAAACTCTTAGGATTCTTTACTAAAAGACAGAAGCCTAAAAGACAGAAGCCTATGGACCTGGGCACCCACTCTGTTGGAGTACAGCCCTAGTTTCCCAAATGCTGTCAAACATCCAATATGGAGTGGAGTGGCAGAGATTATTTTATAGTGTCCTTTTTACAGATGAGGAAACACCTGACCCAAACAGAAAAAAAGGGGGAGGGTACTTGTCTGAAGTCATCCAGGTAACAAGTTTGTTTGGATCCAAAAATCCTACCAGTTTCCACACTCCACAGGGTATTTTGGGAGATGGGAGACAATGTTGTAACCTGGCTGCCTGAATGCAGAGGTGGAAGGCTGGGACAAGCTTTCATCAGGTGGGTGTGGGCTAGTGAAGATTGTCTTTCCCTAGTTGCTATATCTTAGCACACTAAGATCTTGCAGTGCCAACTGTAAGGGGGCAATTTTAATGGCATCTGGTACTGTAGGGGAGGAACTTGGTGGTTTAGGCGTTAGCATTTAGGGACGCCTGTAATCTTCAGTCTTTGCCATCTGGCCAGCCACAGGCTAATGCTAGCAGGTGGGGGTCTGTGTAGCAGGCCTTCTTGGGCTCTGCCCCTGCCGCAGCCTTTCCCCGCTTGACATTCAACCTCTGTCTTGGCTGCCAGCCCCTAGTCTCCTTTGAGAGAAAGCCCAACCCGGCTCTACTGAGAGAGGAGGCCATTCCAAGCAGAGCGAAGCAGTTTGTGGAACACAGGAGGGGGTGGAAATGTCAAAGGCAATTCGATCCGGCCCATCTCCTTCCCCTGCCCAGGGGACAAGGATCCGCAAGGATCGAGTGACTTGAGCCCTGAGCCCACACCCTGGAATAGTTTCCTAGCCACCCTCGGAGCTGCGCCCGACAGCTACACAGTCCAAGGGGACAGGCGAAGGTCAAGGAACCTGTGGACCTCTGGGTTCCGAGAAAGGGCTCCGAGGTGTCCAGGGTCGCTCCACTCATTCGGCAGGAGCCAAAGTTCAGGGGATCGAATTCCTTCTGCAGCTCACTCCTCCGCCCCCCAGTCCTCCCGCTAGGCTCACTCACCGAAGTGATGGCAGGGCAAAAGTGGGAGTAAAGAGATGTTCGGGCAGCGCCCCTCCGCGCGAGCCGGAGTTGACGGCCACCGAAAGGCGCCGGAGCTGGCTGGCTCAATATTGATGAGCCCCTCCTCAGGCCCCACCCCGGTCACTTGGCCACGCCCCTGACGCACCAATCAACTCCGCCCTGGGGCCCAAGCTCCGCCCCCGGCGCCCGACCCCCTCTCCCCGAAACATCACGTGGACATGAGGCTCCACCCCTTGCACTCTCTCCCCTCCCTTCTCCTTTGCTCCACCTCTGGCGTTATTGGTCTGCCTCAAGCCGAGGGAGGAGCCCATTGCCTATCCGCGAGAGGGCGGGGCTTGGACCCAGGCCTGATGGGAAATGTAGTTCTGGAGGAAGCAGCAACTTCAGAAATAGTCGAGGCTAGGTCGGAGATGTATATGAACAGATTGCTGCAAGTTAGAAGGGGTCAGAGCTGGCCTTTGGATTTCTTTTTCCTCCATGTTTAGGCGAGTAGGGTGCTATGTCGGTATAACATCAGGAGATGCTTTCTTATGTAGAAAAGTAGCTGTTTAATTGTGGGAAGGTCTCTGTTCTCACTGCAGGGTAGTTAAGATCACCACGGAGGATTCTTGTCAATTTAAATGGTCAGTGATGTAAGCTGTTGGTTCCCACTGGATTAGACCAGCAGTGTCTGAGGTCAAGGATTGAGAAGGCTGGGGCTGGGAAGGTGGCTCAGTGGTAGAGTGCTTGCCTTGCATGCATGAAGCCCTGGGTTCGATTCCTCAGCACCACATAAGCAGAAAAAGCTGGAAGTGGTGCTGTGGCTCAAGTGGTAGAGCACTAGCCTTGAGCTGAAGAGCTGAGGGACAGTGTCCAGGCCCAGAGTTCAGGCACCATGACTGGCAAAAAAAAAAAAAAAAGAATTGAGAAGGCTGATCTGTGTTAAGCATTTTATAACACCTGCTCCTCTGTTATTTATTTAGGATCCAGCCCCTCCTCCTAGTGACATGCAGCATGTAAGATTACATGGCTATAATCTTAGCACTGAGTTTGAGGCCACTTTAAGCTACACAGAAAGACTTTATGAGAAGAGGAAAGAGAAGAATGATTACTGTGGAGAGGTGGGTGTGTTCCTCTATACCACTTCCAGTAGAGTGAAGGGTTATGTTAAGCTAAAATTTCATGTCTTTAATGGAGAAAGGAACATACTGAAGATCCTAGAGATTTCTGAACCACTTGCCCTTTGCTCTCTTGAACAGAGAAACAGGTCTGTTTCACAATTTGAATTTCTTGATCATGAACCTCTCCAAAATTGTGTTCTTGGGTGTTGGGAGGGCAACAAAGGAAATCTAAGCAGAGAGAGACTTTGGGAGAGGCTGAGAACAAAACAAGTTTTTTTTTTCCATAGACATTGAGGTTTGGGGTCATTGTGGGTGAAGTATCAGCTGGAGGGTCTTCTTAGGATGGGATGTAGGCAGATCCACCCCTCACAGCTAGGTGCTACTATTGGTTTAGGCTGTGGAATAGGAGGATATGGAATCACTGAGAGCAGTCAGAGCAAAGCCCACCCTCTTTCCCATAGAGGTTCTGTGTCCCTCACCTATAGGCAGCCCCTAGACATCATGTCACCATGGCCTTGGGTAGTTGGCACATGCACTCATGAGCCATTGTCCCTGGACGACATATACATGAACAACAAACTGATTGGACCTAGAGGTGTGTGCTGGAATGGGCATTTGGTCACAGGGACTATAAATGACACATGAGGTGCTCGGCAGGTTGTGTGGACCCTCTGGTTTGTTCTAGGGACTAACATGGCCCACAGGGTGTCTAGTGATCTTGAGAGTCAGGTAGCTCTCCCCTAGAGACACCATATTGACCCTTGTACAATGTGCCCCAAGGCAGTGTCCTTCCTTGGAACTCCCCTTCCAGTCTAGCAGGAGCTCTGCTTATCTTTACAATAAATCGTCGTCATTTTTCCTTCTCCTTTGAGTCCATGGACTCATTCTTGAGATTGTAGAGAGAAAGGACTTGAACCAGGTGTTGCAGTCTTTTTGTATCATTACTGTTGTACATCAGAAGGGCATAATTACTCAAACTACTGAGATAATGGGAGTGAGCGTGTTCTAGGCTGGGTAAATGAGAAACAGGTCCCTCATTTCTAGATCTTACTGGGCAAAGACATAGGGAGACAGCCTTTGGGATAAAGAATTTATTGCCTGAGCAAGCTCAGGCTTTACCAGAAACAGTAGCGAGGATAGCTCTCGGACACAAACTCAGGGTGAACAACATAGCTGTTTCTCTGGGGCCCACCAGTCTTCTTGAAGTGACTTGTGTCCCATCTGCAAGGGAGAGACGGTCATCTGTTCTAGACACTCATATGTTGAAGTCAACATCTGATTCCAATTCTCAATACTAACCTTATTCCAACATTTTAACACTAACACTGACTTCCTAACCTCATGTTGTAATGCTGAATTTCTGATGCTAAGTACATATTCCCTACCTTTTCATACCAAATCCTGAAGCCCAGCACACAATACTAAATTCACTACCAAGTCTAACTCCTTCCATACTTCCCCACGGCCCTTGCTCCCCCTGGTGGCTGATTCCTGTAGGTGCAACTCAGTGGATACATCCCATCCCTAGTCCCCTTCCGGCCCCCAAGGCCCTAAAGGAACAGCGTGTATATGCAAGTGAAAGTGTGTGCATCAGACTTACTTAAGGTTTGGACATGGGTAGAATGATGGCAGGGGAGGTGTAACAGCACATTGCATTCCGGGTCTGTGCCCGAAGGGCGACACACACCTGGGGAAGAAAGTAGTAGGCAGCAAGAGGTAAGGTCTATTGATACCCTCCTGTTCCTGCAGTCCAGACCAAGGACTGTGGTGGTGTTTCAGGCACGAGTCCTACCGCTCCAAGATCCTTCCCGTCTTTGCCTTTCAAGACCCTATTTCAGTACTGCCTCTGCGTAGATCCCTCCTCACAAGGCCTGCTTTTGCCGTCCAGGGCAGACGATGGGGTCCAGGGAGAAGACTGGCTTCCCTTCCAGGGAGAATTGAGGACTCAGGAGCCCTTCAGATCTTTGCAAAGGAACAGCAATTTCTCCAGCATGCTGAAGGGTGCATGGAGTCTTCAGGAGACTCAGGCACGTTTACACACGCGCACACGCGCACACACACACATTTTTGGTTTTTTGTTGGTCGTGGGTCCTGAACTCTGGGCCTGGGCGCTGTCCCTCAGCTCTTCAGCTCAAGGCTAGCACTCTACCGCTTGAGCCACAGCGCCACTTCCGGCTTTTTCTGCTTAAGTGGTGCTGAGGAATCGAACCCAGGGCCTCATGCATGCATGAGTCGCAAGCACTGAGCCACCTTCCCAGTCCACCCCACCCCCCAATTTTGAGGGATAAGACTCAACCTTACATGACCGGCTGCAGGGTTAGGGACAGAGATCAGGACCCATTCTGTACAGTATTCAGAACTTGCCTCAGACTTGGTTACCTCGGCTCCGGGGCAAAGGGGAAGCAGAGACACGGCTGGGCCCGGCGAGCAAGCAGAATTCGGCTGCAGGCCAGCGCAGGGCTGACTTGGAGGCCCAGCGGGGCTAGAAACTGCAGCCAGGGAGGGCCGGGCTGGGGGTGAGGCTTGTTTGGGGAAGGAGGCTGCCTGAGGGCTGATCCATGCGAACCTTAGAGTCGGCTCCTCCAAGCACCGACTCAGGCGACGGTCAGCGAGGGGCGCCTCCGCGGCGAAGCAGTCCAACCCGTGCAGGCAGCAGTGGCGGCCAGGGCAAGGGCTACTGAAACCTTGGAACGGCAGGCGGCCGGACATCGGGTCCAAGCACCTGCACCGAGGTGCTAGCTGTGGCAGCGGCTGGTTCCGGGACAGCGAGTTCAACATGTTCATCACCACCTCACGTTCTGTACCCGCGGGTCCAGAACCCAAGAGACCCCCAAGACAAGAGTTCCAGGCAGGGGGAGAGGCAAGGTCAGAAACAGAGGCAGAGACACAGTGACACCCCCTCCAGGACCCTCGGCCTCCACCCTGTTCCCCTCGATCCCCGGCCCGTCCGCCTCTGTCCTCCCCGCTCCCGCTCAGGAACCATTTTCCACCGGCCCCGCCAGTCTTTACCGTAGGCATTGAGGCGCTCCGGCTTGGGAGGGTACTCCAAGGGCATGCCTCGAACTACTGGGTCCAGCCTAGAGTCCTGCAGGGACCACAGATGCTAGCCTCAAGCTCCGATCCGGAAGAGTGTTTACCCCTTTGAGGGGTCCCTCCAGAACACCCTGTTCCCGCCTCTCAGCAGCTCCCCAACTCTGATCTGCCGAGTGTTTGGGGTTGTTGCTGGGCAACGCATTTACTCCACCTATCCGGAGGAGGCTAGAGAGGAGGAGGGCTGTAGGAAGGGAGATTGGCCGGGCCTGGGGCCACTGTGCACTAGCTTTTGCCTTTGATTTAGTATTTGCCTTTATCAGATGGAGTGTTTTGTTTTTTTTTCTTTATCGGTCGTGGGGCCTGGGCACTGTCCCTAAGAGCTCAAGGCTAGCGCTCTACCACTTGAACCACAGCGCCACTAACGGCTCTTCTGCTTATGTGGTGCTGAGGAATCGAACCCAGGGCCTTGAGCATGCAAGGCAAGCGCTCTACCACTGAGCCACCTTCCCAGCCCATGATGGAGTGTTTAACAGGGAGTTTACAATATTAGAATACATTAGAATTACAACATGAGAATCACCTAGAGGACCTTGTGACACATTCTAATTCTGTGTGTGTGTGTGTGTGTGTGTGTGTGTGTGTGTGTGTGTGTGTGTAGGGGGAGGGGTCCTGGGGCTTGAACCCAGGGTGAGGGTTTTTTGCTCAAGGCTAACACTGTACTACTTGAATCACAACTTCACTATTGTCTTTTTTTTGTAGTTAAGTCCCTAAGATAAGAATCTCAGGTACTTCCTTGCCCTCTCTACTGGCTGGCATTGAACCAGTATTCTCATATCTCAGCCTCCTGAATAGCTAGGATTATAAGTGTGAATCACCAGCCCCCAGCTCAAATTCTAATTCTTGAGGAAGTCCTAATTCAAAAAAGGTTTAGTCTATCAGCCTACTGCTAGGCACTCCTGCAAAGGGCCTTGGGACCTCTTACCTTCCATAGCCAGAGGGCCAGGCCTGGGACTAGGACTCCATTCTATCTCCCAGGAATAGTCTCCTATTCTATTTCTACTCTGCCGCTACTTAGTAGCCTTGTGCTCCTGTTTTCCCTGTTCATATCACAATGGAAGGGGAAGATGACTGTGACAGCCCCAAATGTCACAATGGTCAGAACAGATGAGAAGGGGTCACTCAGCAAACTTCAAGAAGGTACGAGTATGCCAGAAGTCCACATCACTCATCTGTACAGAGCCAAGGCAGAGATCAGGATTCAAGGATTTATCATAGCCCCACTCCTGGGCTAGCAAACATTCACTAATCCTAGTTCCCCAGATGGGGGAAGATTCTGGAGCACTGTTGGTAGGAAAGGAATGAGGACTGAATAGATAAGTATCAGTCACTGTAGTGTAGGATGGTAGTGTGGACCCAGTAGCTACCTTAGACAGTTGAGGAAGGTAGGAAGAATACTTGTTCAAGTAGGAGCTGTTGTAAGGTCCCATCTTCCATGTGTTGTACCGGTCACCGCCCAGGTAACTTGGGCAGTATTTGAGTGCTGCATTGTAGGAGTGGAGATGTCAGTTATTTCTTACTTCACCCAGGGGATCTAGGACCACTTTAAATGTTTGTTGATGCCCAGCACAAAGCAGATCATCATAGACTTCTCCTAAGGCCAGTCCCTAAGCCTACCCAGACTTCCCTCCTTCCCTCCCTCCTTCCCTCCCTTCTTCCCTCCCTCTTTTCCTCCCTCCTTCCCTCCCTCCCTTCCTCCCTCCCTCCCT